AAGACACGAAGGGAACACTGAACAACCACAGAACGGAATGCACAAACCCAAGGGCTTTTTGAACTACAGCTACCAAATAAGAGCCTTGCGAAGCCGTTGCGTATGTGCGTGCTTCTGTGAGGATCGACTGGGTCGAGTGGATCCGCACATAAATGGGGCAAAATAACCACCATGGAAGCAGAAGAAGAGTGGTATGTTTGAAGGCTCGGCGCCTTCATTTTAGCTGTCGTGCAGCCACAACCACCTTCGTCACGTTTTTCTTCTTACTGCTTCCCACTGCACTGCCAGCATCGTCGTTGTTATTGTTGGTTGTGGTTACTGTCTCTGGTGTTGTTGAAGCAGCGGAATATCATCCCGTTAATCCAAAGCCAAAGCGGCACGAACAAAGGGAAAGAACACAATACAAAGAAAAAAAAGCCCACTCCTCTCGCTTCCCAACAGAAACAAAAACAAAAAAAAATCCCACACGAGTCCCCCAGAGGATTCTGCGGTATGAGAAGAAACAACGCAAACTAGCAAAACAAACAAAAGGTAGAAATCTAACAGGGGGCTGATTGGGAGAAGATCAATAAAACACAGAAAATGCGGGAAAACATCAAGCGAGGAGAAAAAAAAAAAAACTAAACAAACGCGCATAAATGAACACACACACACACACGCACACGCATACATACACACAGAAAAACAAACAAAGTGAGGAACAACATGAAGTATGGATGCCTCGCAGAAGCCACATGAAGCTACATTCACCGCACAGTACGCACGAAGCCATACTTCATGTCTTCCTTCAGGCACAGAACAGCATTTGCTTAAACCTACACACACACACACACACACGTATATACCTTCTACCCACTTCCGTCATCTTGAGTCCCCTGCATATACAAGTTATTTAGTTATTTTTCTCTCTTTTCTGTCCTTGTTTCTGCATAGATTCCTCCCTCCTTTCAACTGAGAGGGTATCGAAGGAACAGCAGGCTGGGGCGCGTGGTACACAGGAGAGCCCTCGCAAACAATCAAAGCACAACGAAAAAAGAACAGAAGCAACACGATGGGGGAATAAGGAGAGGGGAGAAGAAACACACACACATGCACAAACGATGAAAGAAACGGCGAAGGGGGTAGAGATGGGAGAAAAAGGGAATGACGCACCCCACTACCATCACCACCACCACGACCCGGAAACCTACACAAATGAAGTGAACAAGAGAAAAAAAAAACGTCAGAGGTGTACACCGACGAAAGAACAGCACACAAAACCCCACTCCCTTTCAGAGAAGTTTTTTGGTGTGCCTATCGTGTTATCTCACGCTTTTTTTTGTTCTTTTGGATCCTCTGGATACCCATATTTCATCCTCCCTTCTTTATTTTTTTTCGCCCGTATTCACGGCTGATAGGCGTTTTTGTCACTCCATTGTCCCTCCTCTCTTTTTCTCTTTCACTCCGTCACGTTTTCCTATACACCCCTATTGCGTCCTGGGAAAGCTCTATATTCACCAACCCAGCCCCTTCTGGGGGCCCGTGCAAATGGCGAGCGGTTCACTCACCGCGCTGCTGTTGCTGTTGCTGTTGCTGCTGTTGTGGCACAGCTTCCTCATCAACCGGGTGCATGGCGTACGGGTTGTTGCGCCGCGTAGGGCTGATCATACGCGTCTTGGCGCTCGCGTCCGGTGGGGATTGGAGAGTGTTGGGGTTGTTACTATTAAACCCCATACGCGCCTGCCCAACTGACGAGACTCCATCGTTGACGGCGTACATCTCCTTTCGCCCCAAGAAACCGGCGCTGCTGTTAGTATTGTTGTCGATGGTGGTGCTGCTGCTGAACGTGGGGTCTCCAGTGCCACCTTGGACAAGGTTCAGCGGTGTGACGTCGGCGGCCCCTCCCTCGCTGTACTTCTGCGCCACCCAAGCGGCCACTTGGCTGCCACTCGGCCACTGAACACCGTGACGACTGCGCACGTTGACGTTGATGTCCGAGGTGGGTGAATCGCCGCGGGAGGTGCTGTACGGGCTCACGCCGCTTGTCACCGAATTACCAAGCAGACCATTTATATCGGTCACAACGTGAAGAAAACGACAGTTTTCACCCATACGGCAGAGGTTCTTGGTGCGAAAATGTGCACAATGTTGCATCTTCTTTTTGGGAATGGTCCCCTCAGCATCAAATGCGGCCATGTACTGGCGCGATCCCAACGTCACGAGAACCTGATCACCAGGATAATCTACCCACGCCTCGTTGCTGTTTTGCTCAAACACACGAACGATGACATCCGTGCGGAGACGGGGATATCGCATTAGCATCGCAGGCTCCGCAATGTGTGTGGCGTTACCCTCCACTTCAGAAAGGTCCTGAAAAGCAGTGTGTATATCCTCGCAGGTGGCACCCAACTCGCACTTCCCTTTATTTGTCATTGCATCGCAGAGTTTAAACTTTGCCTTAAAATTGTCTCCGTGTTCGTTGTGCATCTTCACATACTCATTGCTCCCACGAGTGGGGAAGATAAACTCGCTGGGAATCGAGTAGTAGTGGGTCATGCACGGATCGTAGCATTGCAAGATGAATCCAGGCTCGTAGAGACCCGTGTTCCTGTTGATATCATGAGTAATGTAGTTCCACGTGTGCTCCTGTGCCACATGCACCTTGGGACACAGCTCACCAAGTCGGCAGGACTGTGTGTGCATGAAATCCTCACACACGGCCGCTCCATTCTGGCCTCTCGCAGCTGTCGGGAGGACGCGGCTGAGGCGCGTGCAGACGACACTGTTGGTGCAAGGGCATACAAGGCGTATTGTGAAGAGACGGTCATGGTACGAAGATGGCCCACCCGAATTAGGGCTCCGATTGCCACTTGGTGGGCTGAGGTTGGCGCCACGACGCTGCGGCTGCTGAAACTGGCCCTGGCCGCCGCGGTAGGCGTGGTGGCGCGTGTTTGGTGGGCTGGTGCGCATCGCGTGCTGCTTCTTCACTGACAGCGGGTGTTTTGAAGGTGGTGGCGATGTGATTCTCCGCCTCGCCTGTTTCTTCACTCTGTGTGAGTCACAAGACACACAGACACTACACTGCTTCTACGCAAAAATAGGGAACGAAAATAGGTAAGGTTGGGGCACGAAATTAATGTTTCCTGCCTTCACCTCGTTCCTCTGTTTCGGTACTTCCCTGTTCTTGTGATACCTCCTTCGCTGCTTATCTTACTTACTTTCCTATTCTCTTTACCTCCTGGACGCTTTTTTCCCCTTTGGGCAGATATAAATTGGGTACGAGCTAATCTGTCGCACAGCAACGGCAATCCGTAAATATATTTATATATAAAAAAAAAAAAAAAGAGAGAGAGAGAGAGAGAGCAAGCAAAAAAGCAGCGCAGAGAATAATAAGAACAAAAAAGACAGATAATGGCACAATGGCACAGACACTGAGGCGGGGAGCGAGAAAGAGACGAGGGAGGAATAGCCGTACAGAACAGGGAAGCGGAATGGCACGCAACGTGTGTTGTTTTCTCTTTGCAACTAACGCCTTCTCTGTTTTGCATCGGCGTGGGGAGCAAGCAAAGCGAAGAGCGGAACTATATAGACAAACAGCTGACGATGGGAACGCTGGGGGTACGTTTGTGAATGAGTGGGCGAACAAAAGTGTGCGTAAGTGTGTGTGTGTGTGTGTGTTTCTGTACAAGAGAGCGGGTGCATGTGTAAGGGCGGCGATGCAGACGCTGCCGCGCACGGCGAGAGAAGCCGCAGCAGCGTCGTGGTGCGGGCAACAAACGCCGCGCACCAACGGGACGAAAAAAAAAGGGAAACAAACAAAAAAAAAGGGAAGGAGGAACGAAAAAAAAAAACCAAAAAAAGTGAAACGAGAACGGCACATGCATGCAGTGACATGAACTGGAATGAAAAAGAAAGTAGGCACGAGAAAGAGGGAGGGGAGATGTGCACAACGCACCACAACGCCACACACACACACACACACACACACAAGCACAAGCACTAGCACACCCGCCCGCCTTCGTGAAGGCGTGTTCGTGTGCCCACGCACAGTTCTACTATTTTCTTTTATCTCTCTCTCTCTCACTCTGTCTGCGTGTATGTGTTTCCTCTGATTTGTTCTATTTGTTTTTGTTTCTTCTTGTTGTGTTGTTGGGTTCGTACCATTATTTGTTCTCGTTCTAGATGCCCTCTTTTCTGTTTGTCAGCTTCGCAGCGAGCACCACACACCAGCATCAGCAAAAATCAAAGACTGGGCCGCGGCGGACCAGCGAGACGCAGCGGACGGGCACCCACCCACCCACACACACAGAGAGAGAGAGAGAGACGGATGTACGCAGCCGCCCAACCGCGCCGCCAACCACGCCGCGGCGACAGACAACAGCAAAGACATCTCTCTCTCTCTCTCTCTCTACGGCGCGGAAGCGGTGGGCATTCCAAATGAAAACGGGATTTTTTTTTGTAAAAACTTGAAAATGACGCTCACCAAAACGGGAACTAAGAGCAGACCGCAAGGTGGACATGAGTAAGCACAATGAAAGCACATGGGTGTCTCGAGTTGGTCCAAGACTTTCGTTTTCAATTTTGTTTTTTCATTTTCTAGTCTTTTCGGCTTTGTTTTGTTGTTTAAATAAAACAGCCTTTCTGGCCGTCGTTGCTATTTCTCATTGTTGTTGTTCCCATTCTTCTCTTTCTGTGCCTCCCGCTACACACGCTAACCGCCGCTCTCTCTCTCTCTCTCTCTCTCCCTCTGTCGCTCTCTCTCGATGCCGCACCGCGTGCTCTCCCCTCCACCCACCATAACAATAGCAACACTTCTGCTGCACGCACGCTACTATCCCCCTATACAGAGACACGTCGCAAAAAAAAAAAATCAACAGCAGACACCATTTTGTGTTCGCCCACCATCTTGTCATCATTGCTTGTATGCCGTGTCATACGCTTATATGTGTGCCTATATGTATGTGTGAATCTGTGTGTGGGTGTGTGGTATGATGATTGCTCTAGAGCTGCCACGTAGATGCAGAAGTGGGAGGGGAGCGCAGTCCGCCCATTCCCGCTTGCTGCCGCCGCACACTCAGTTGTCGCACACCCACCACTCCCACACAGCACAACACATACATCAATACGCAGACTCATTTCCTTCACACTCTCCACTACCCTCCGTCGTGGCGCCCAAGTCTGATGGTGGGAGAGTCGGAGCCACTGGAGAAGGGCGGTGCCGCCCGTGTCAGTAACGCGTCACACCTAATGGGCGTGGGATGAGCGAAAATACGAAAATGAGCCAACAAAGGTAGGAATGGAAATCCTTAACACTCTGCTGCATGATTCCCATGAAACAGCAGGTGACCAACAAAGAAAAAAGAACACAACAAACAGCAAAGGAAAACGCAAAGAAGGTAGAAGTGGATAGGAAAACCGCGCAATGATTACGCACACACGCTTCACATCCCGCTGCTTTTCTTCAATTCGCCACCATTGTTACTGTTCTTCTTCTTCTTGTCGCCGTCGTCATCGTCATCATCGTTTCCTTGCTTATTTTCGTTGCTTTGGTTCGGCTTCCTGTCCCAGCTTCTTTTTGTCCCCGGGCTGCTGTGCGTTCCCCTGAGCATATATACCGGTGACCCCCTTCCACCGCATGCCTCTTTCCCATTCGTTCTTCTCCGCTCCACTGCTCTATTTGTGGTAGTTCCGCGCCACGTTGGCACTCTGCCGCGAGACGACCGGACGGGCGTGGTGCAGCGACC